CGGATGGGACATTGTCTACGACGACCCGCCGATCCCGGCGACGGGGTGGGTGAAGCTCGCGCGGAAGAAGTGGTACGGCGGGGGCGGGGAAGGCCAAGGGGACAAAGGGGAGAAGGAGAAGAAGAAGAACACGGGAGAAGGGGAAAAGGGGGAGAAGAAGAAGGCGAAGGGGCCGAAGGAGTCTGGCGACTGCAGCATCTCGGCGGCCGAGTTCGACGAGCTGCTGGGCCACTGCGTGGCGGTGACGGATGCGGCGGCGAGCTGCTTCGCGGCGGAGATGATCCGGGCGTACCCGGAGGCCAAGGTGGTGCTCAACGTGCGGCGGGACCTGGACGCGTGGCACCGGAGCGCGGTCAAGACGCTGGTGCACGTCAACGAGAGCTGGAGCTTCTGGGTGGCGAGCCTGCTGGACCGGGAGGCCTTTTGGGCCTGGCACGTCTACGAGCGCTTCCTCTGGGCGCTCTTCTTCCGCGCACCGGACGGGGATATGGCGAAGGCCATCAGGAGGAACGGCAAGTGGATCTACCGGGGTAAGTTTTGGTCATTGTCTTGTACTATCTATGTGATACATTTCTTCTACTCTGCTAGGTGTATGCTAACCACGGGACAGAACACTGCGACATGATCAGGGGTATGGTGCCCCCCGACCGGCTGCTCGAGTGGTCGGCGGACGAGGGGTGGGAGCCGCTGTGCAGGTTCCTGGGGAAGGAGGTGCCGAACGTGCCGTTCCCGCACGCCAACGCGGGGGGGCCGGGCGGCGGGTGGAAGGCGAGGGAGGAGATGGCGACGAAGCGGTGGGTGGAGGGGGCACTGACGAACCTGATCCTGATGGGCTTCGCCTTCGTCGCGGGCTGCGCCGTGTGGTTGCGGTGGGGGAGGTGAGGGATGCGCGGAATGGTTGTGTTGGTGAAATGGGGGGTCCAAAGACCGCGGCGCTGGTTCTTTTGAGAAAAGTTACGGATATGATGGGGGAGGGGGATCGTAATGGGTTCTGGGTGTTGGTTTGTAATGTAATGCTGGGCGACGAGGGGGTTATTCGAGCGACACTCATCTGATGGTGTTTGAAGCAGGATTGGGAGCACACGTATATCTATATATCTACCTTCGTACTTCCACATCACATGCCAGTTGCCGTGTCTTTTGGTGATTCGGTGATTTGTTCCTTACCTTCCATGCCCCCTCGCGACGTAGCTTCGACGCATGGAATACTGCATCAGTGACAATTCCGCCGACGGTGATTGGGTGGCGCGGCTGCTGTGAATCACTGGATTTCTCAGCCCGGGCTGACTGAGTTGGAAACTCTCGACTTGCATCTTCCGTCGATCAGAGTACCTACCTGCGACACAAGGTTCCAGAAGAGAACCACGACTCTTTTGGCCGAACCGACAAAACTCTGTTGATGTTTCGTCGCGCGATATCTTTATTGCCAATAATGCTATTTTAGTCTCACCAGATGATCATTTAAAAAAAATAAAAATAAAAACGCTTTGGCCAACTTCACCGATGGAATGCCCGCTTATCACAACCCCTTGAAAAAGATGGATGCTGCTAACACTACTTTACTGCTCCCTCAACGCCCACCCAGAGCTTGGCGACACGTGATGAGACACTTCCAGATTCAGGTCGCCCGCCATTTCAGGGGGGCCGGTTCGCGGGAACACCTCAACAAAATTGCTGATTGCTTCGCCCTTTTCTCCTCCTGGTCTTTCACCTAACTAACCTACCTACAAACTCCTTCAATGAAACATCGGGCCGCGCGCCCGCTGAAGGAGGTCAACAATAGCCCCCCGCCTCCCCCTATACAGCGAACCATCAAACGGGAGCTGCGGAACAGGAACGCCTGGAGGAAACCTGCATAAAAGAGAAAGAGAGGCAGAGTGAGTCATGGACGCCCCAGGCGCCGCTGCCTTTAGGCGCAAACCCCTGCCGGGCCCTCCCCCGGGCCCGCCGCCGCCGCCGGATTTCGACCCCTTTCCCCAACGCCACCAGCCCCTCCGCGGCGCCCGGTCGACGCCGAATCTCCGGCAGTCGGCCGCGCCGTCCATCTACGACCCGCCCCCGGCCTACGAGGAGTTCCCGGGCGTCGATTCCCGCGGCCGGCTCGCCGTCGGACCGCTCGGCTCCGGTCCCGGCTTCGGGAGGACGCCGTCGCCGTCGGGCGCTGCTTCCTTCTTCACAGACCCTCCCGCAGCGGCGCACCAGGAGTACCGGCCGTATCGGCCGCAGGCCCCGCCGTCTCCCGCTCGCGGTGAGCAACCCGCACCCTCACCAGCACCGTCCGCTTTTCGAGCGTACCCGGCCGAGCCTGCCAAGTCTGCGCGCCCCGAAATCCTGCCATACCGGCCGCAGCCTTCGTCGAGCTTCGGCCCTGGCGGGCAGCCTTCACCCGCACCATCGGACCATGGCGAATACTTCCCTGGAACCCCCGCGACCGCTCCTCCTGGAAAGTCACCCTACCAGCCCCAACCGTCCTCAGCCTTCGGTTCAGAGAAGCAGTCGCTCGCACCGCCCAGTCCCGGACCGCACTTCCCCGGCCCGCCGACTGCGCAGACGTTCCCCGTGGCCGCGTACCGCCCCTCCCTTTCTCCCACGCCCCCCAACAACACCATGTCCTTCGCCCCTCCGCCGACGTCGCATGCCCCCTCGGAGGAAGCGTCCACGACGGACTCCCAGGCCGCGGAAAAGTCCTTCTGGCAGACCGCCCTGGAGGAGACCAAGTACTTCGCCGGCGGGCTCGTCAGCCACCCGTTCGAGTACACCAAGCACTACTCCATCCTCCGACACTCGGGCGCGCTGGTCTGGTACCGCGGCCCGTCGACGTCCGTCACCGTCACCGTCTTCTCGGACGCGCCGCTCCCGCCGACGCGGACCGTCTGGCTCCAGCAGCGGGGCTTCTCGGGCAGCATGGGCATGAACCTCAAGTCGCTCGTCGGCGCCACCACCTCCTGGCTCGACGTCACGCCCTCGACGCGCGCGGCGCCCGCCGACCTGCCGGCGGCCGACGAGAGGGGGTGCCAGCGCGACATGAAAAAGTTCCTCAAGAAGGCGCCCAGGAACCTCGCGGCCCACGTGCCCAGGGAGACGTACGTCGTCCGCATCCCCGCCGCCGCCGACGACGGCTACTTCCGCCTCGTCCTGTGCTCGGGCGGAAACGGGAACGGGAACGGCGGCGGAGGCAAGCGGAAGGTCCTCTGCCCGAGCCCCGTGTTCCGCGTGGCCAGTACCTCGACGGACGCCAGCGTGTTCCGCGGCGCGAGCCTCGCGAGCATGCCCCTCGAGGTGGGCATCAAGGCCGGCTCGGTCGTCGCGGCGACGGTCGTGAACAAGTACGTCGGCCCCGTGGCCGCCGTCGTGCAGGCCCGCGCCAAGAACCTCTCCAAGGCCGGGGTCGTGACGAAGCACGCCACGCACATCGCGGCCTGCGAGGACCGGTACGCGGCGGTGCGGGGCGCGGGATACGACGCGTGGCAGTCGTCGGGCGGCGGCGACGGCGGAGGAGGAGGAGGAGGAGGAGGAGGGTTCCAGGAGGCGCCTCCCGAGGTCGTCGGCTCGGACGACGGGCCGAGCGAGCCGTTCCCGATCAAGTTCGGCGGGAAAGTCACCCGGGGCACGGGCCGCGGCGGGATGGAGCTTGGGGTGCCGACGGCCAACCTGACGGACGTGCCCGAGGACGTCAGGCTGCGCATGCGGGGCGTCTACTTTGGCTGGGCGCGGGTGGTGCCGGGCCCCGGGGTGCCGGAGGGGTTGTCGACCGAGTGGCACGAGAGCATCGTGACGGTCGGGCCGGCGCCGTACGCGACGCCGCGGGTGGCGGCCAAGAACGTGGCGACGGCGCACCTGATCCACGAGTTCGGCGGCGCGCTGTTCCTCGGCGCGCGGCTCGAGGTGCTGGTCATGGGCCAGCTGCGGGCGTCGGCGCCGCCGGCGGACGGGTCGGACGCCGCGCTGGCGGCCTACGCGGCCGACGTGCTGCTGGCGGTGGCCAGCCTGAGCCGCGACAACTGGGGCCCCGCCGAGACGCGCGAGAGGCTGCGGGCGGCGCGGAGCGAGATGAGCCTGGCGGACCGCTACGTCGAGACGAGGGACCGGGTGCAGAAGCAGATTGACCGGGTGCCGCTGCACCTGGCGGGGGTCAGGACCGAGGGGGCCGCGTTAAGGGACCGGGCGTTTGGGAACGGAGGCCTCTGGATCCCGAGGTGAGGTTGGTGTGTGTGTGTGTGTGCAGATGCCTGGCGGTGGCAATCTGGGAGAGTGTTTTGGGATTTCAAGTTCTATTTCAGCCAGCGAGCATTTGGCAAAGGTGTGTTTGTATTATATTGTAATCAAAAAGAATAGACTAAAAGGAGTTGGGTTCTGGGGCATTGCTATATGCTATGTGTGTTCCCTTAGCCGTGGCCATGTGACTGACGAGTCCTTTGGGGTCCATTAGCCTTGAATGGCTCATGAGCGTCGACTAAGCCACGTACAACAAATATATATATATCACTGAGTTAGCATCATTGCCGTCAGCAAACACGGCGTGATTCCATGGGTACCGTGGGCTGACAAAGGAGCTGGCTGGTTTGCGGATGAGTTGCAGTATTAACGCTTGGTATGGGGCTATCCCCTTAGGAACAGAACCGTAGCTGTACCTAACGGAGCCAGAGACGACTTGTCAGATACTGTGACTCCATTGCGCCTGTTTTCTTCGTCGATGCGTTTGATAATAAGGCCGATGCCGAGACCGGCCCCGCCATCCTCCACCCACCAAGTCGGCGAACCCCCGGTGTACTCCCCACATCGGCGGGCCCGTAGCCGTCCCCGTCATCCCCCGCTGGGACTACCCCAACACACACGACCCGCAAAGCCCATCGTGAAAATTTTGCAAAAAAAAATCCTTTCCCTCGATTTGACCCAGGCCCCCCCCTCCATGGATCCCGTTCGACGACCAAACCGTTCTTGAACACTAGTTTCTCTCCTCTTCCCAACAGCAGTTCCACATCTGGAACTGGTTCCAACCAGGCCGGTTGGCCCAATGGCAAGGCGTCTGACTACGACTCGCGGGTCTCATTCCAGAGATCGGAGGTTGTGTAATCAGGAGATTCTGGGTTCGACCCCCAGGCTGGTCAATTCTTTTGTCTCGTTTGTCGTCGTGACTAGACTTCGTTTTGCTCCTCCCCTACCCACCCATCATCATCTATCCATCCTATGAATGTCACACGTTATGATATGACCAGCCCTGTGGCTCAGTACAGATTGCTCATCCTTTGAACGAGACTGTTGCCACATTCTCCTTGACAACAATCGCTCAATCACCATACACGGAGTGGCGAATTCAGGTTGAATCATTGACAATTATATTATTACGGTATACTACATCAAATTAAACGCGCCTTAGGGGGTATCCAATCTCGTACGTCGTTGCCTGCAACGTTTCCTAATGGGAACCTCACAACACCCAACACACACGGTCAGACCTTTAGGCATGGATGGACTGCTGGACTTCGGGGTATACTCGGACCATCTCATCATAGAGCTCGGGGTGATCGCGCATCAACACCTGGGGATCCCAAGCCGAAGCAACAAAGATGGTGTCGATGCCGCTGGAGATGGGCGTCGTGAAGACATTAGCAATTTGGAGGCCGATGAGGAAGGAAAATGCGACGACGAGGGGCGTGTAGTTGCCGCTCTGGTTATAGACGGGGTTGGTGAAGACCATGTAGAGGTAGGCAAGGAGCGCACAGGCGTAGCCGATGAAGGTGGCACCGAACGAGAGGACGGGGCCGATGAGGCATTCCTGTACAATGGTCAGCTACCGAGTCTGTTCGACACGGGCGAAGGGGGAAGGCTGGGGAACAGGGATTACTCACGTTAATAAGAGCATCAATGCCGCGGTCCTTGATCATCTTCCAGGTGTCCTTGGCGGCGGGGATGTAGGCCTTGCCGTAAAGCGCAATGTGGGAGAAGGCATATCTGTTAAGGAAGCTGACGGCCCATTCCAAAAGCGAGATGAGGCAGCTCAGAATGCAGAAGAGGACGTAACCGACAATGTTGCCGTCTCCGGCAGCCTGATCACGGGCGACGGAGCAGATGTGGCGCAGGAAGTTGATAATGGCGACGACCAAGCTGCCGAAGCTGATGGAACCGAAGCTGTAGGTCAACGAACGCTTGAGGGCGCCGCGGGTGGCGCCCTTGGGGAAGTTGTTGACACAGAAGTACCAGGAGCCGTAGACGCCAGAGATGGTAACGTGGATGACGTTCTTGAGAACCTCGGAGATCCAGTACATGGCAAAAGTGATGAAGACGATGAGGCCAATGACCTTGCCCTGGCTACACTGGCCGTTCCTGCACTGAGGGTTGTTCGGGGAAGGCTGGTACTTTGAGTAGGTGGCGACGAGGGTGACGGAGTACCAGGCGGCGAGGGCGGCGGCGAGAATGCCTCCGAGGAAGGAGACGAGGTAGACGTGACCGTACTTCTTAGAGACCTTGATAGAGGTCTTGAGCATGAGGGCGGAGAAGGGGATGCGGGGGATCCAGCTGATGAAGGCGAAAATGAGGAAGGCGCCAAATATGAGGAAGACGATGCCGCCCGAGTAGTAGCGGCGCGAGAGCATGTAGATTGCGGTGACGAAGGCGAAGACGATGTTAAGGATGCCGGTGACCCAGATGAAGGCCTTGGGGAACAGACGAGCGACCCAGACGTAGGCGTAGCTCAAGACGATGGCGACGGCGAGGACGAAGGCGAAGAGGACAATGGTGTTTGTGCTAAGGCCGAAGGTGTTGGCGCCGTCGTAGATGCCGCCGCCGTTGAGGTTCTTGGTCGCCGAGTAGCCTGATATCGTCAGGCCCGAGACGGCGGCGAAGCCGAGGAAGACTGCGATGAACTGGGGATCGTGTGTTAGCGACGTCATCGCTGAGGGGAGGGTTATCGTGAGCGCGGCAGAGGATGGCGTACCAGAATAGCAGCCCAGAGATCATTGTATTTGGGCTTGTCGACCTTGAAAGCCTGCTCGAAGGTGTACTTCTCGGGATCGTAGCCCTGGGGCGGCGCATTGTATCCGTAGCCATTGCTGCCGTTGTCTGGCGGGTAGCCGCCGTACTGTTGTGCGTACTTGGGATCGTAGGGTGGCTGCTGGGGGGGAGGCGGGCCACCACCGTAGTAGCCGGCCGATTGGCCGTATGGTTGCGACATTGTGCGGGCGAGGAGTCGAAGATGATGAGGACGATGGGGGATTGGCGACGAGAAAGAAGATGATGGAGGAAGAGGAAGAAGCCGTGACGGTGCGCGAGGGGTAAGTCATCAAAGACTATCGTGGAGAGAAGAGGGAATGAAAAATGGCGTAGAGTAGAATGAGATGGGCGGTTTAGTTCTATTCCATGACGGTGTCATTTCATAACTACCTACCTGAGGGTGCCACAGGCAGGTACAGGACCTAGTAGGTACATGCTAATAACGGGAGCAGGCGCCCGGCCCTCACTAGTCTCTTCCCCCGGTCTGTACCTTGCTGCTGTACCAGCTACGGCGCCTCTCTCCCCTTTTCCTCCCCTCCTGGCCCTAAGCTAGCAAGCAAGCACGCATACTACACAAAGTACCTAGCCTTACCTTGGTTATTTTGATCTCTGACGACTAGGTACCTGGTTTAGGGAAAATATAGGTAGGCAGCTTGATTTCTTAAAAGCTAATCCGGCTAGCTTCCCATCCGTGCAATGCAGATGTTAACGTCATTGGGCAGAACCCAGACGGGAACCGGGCATCGCCGCAGGGGGGGGGGGGGTTCCACAGCGGGTTGCAGCGTCCATCACAGCTGAGCCGAACAGGGGTTACGCGTCAAAATTGCCGAGAGTCACGTGCCAAGGCTTGTCTGGGTCTTCGAGGTCTCGGCCATTCTCCACTTTGACTCCACAGTACTGCATGCACTTGGCTTATGTAATGCACGAGACACACGTATCTATTCTCTACCTTTGCAGATGCATGTGCTGCCCAAGTACATTCTCTATTCGACATTACGTAATACTCTATAGATGCTTCTGTACTCCGTCAGATTCATTACCTATGTATTTCAGATCGATTCTTCTTCTCTCTTATCCGACCATCAACGCCAGTTACACATTGGATGAACTAATCGTCTGACCGAATCCTATTCGGTCTTGCTCAGTCCGACAACCACCTGCATGTCTATCTGTTACAGAGACAGCCTCACACAGGTCGCTGGCGATGCTGCAAGTGCAACGCAGCATGTCCACAGTAACAAGGCACAATGCACCCATCTCCGTACATGAGACCACATGCCAAGTATTGTTTGTACAGGTACAAAGTAACACCGACTTGTCGGGTGCCGGCACCTCCAACAAGCCCCAGTCACCTTGGCCAAGATCCCAAGATCCAAACACCACCCTGACCCAACTGCCCACTTTCTTTCTGCCCACACGTAACCATGCTTTACACGTATTAGAGATTGTGGGGCCACTGCTCCCAGGGACTCCATTGAATAAACACCCGAAATCCTAAAGCCGTCGAAGGTGAGGGAACCTCTGAGTACCGGTATGCACGACAGAAACCGTAGGAACCCGGCTCTGCATTCGGCGTCGCATATCTGCCTAACTTGTCGAAGCCCCTGGACGACGCTCGAACCACTACCAAAGCAAGACTGACCATCATGCCTCGTCCTTTTTCATCGTTACCGCCATGGCACCATCGCCCCGCCGCCTCCTTCCCCTGTTCCCCTGACCGACTTCAAGTCACGGCTGCTACCTACATTTCACCTTGTCGCAGATACGGAGGCTTCGGAGCACGAGGCAGCTGCACCTGGTGCCTCAGATCCGGGTGGCCAGCCTGGAACTCGGGGTAGCTGGCCTCGCGCTTGGGGAACACCTCCTGGTCGTCCGACTCGTCCTCCGTGAAGAACGCTGCCGCGTCCGCGTGCGCCGCAGCAGGTCCGGCTGCCATGCTGTCCTGATAGGCCATCGCCCTAGGGTACGCCGCGTTCGCGCCAGCGTGGTGTTTCAAGATGCCTGCCTGGGGCGGCGGCGGTTGCTGTTGATGGAAACCAGCGCCCTGTGTCCGAGGAGCACCCGCTCCGCCCGTGTCCTCTCGTTGGGACCGCGGTCTCCTCGACTTAGGCGGGACGCCCACCCACTCCCTCTCGTCGGCTTGGCGATGCATCGACGCGCTCGGCCTCGTATGCTCGTTCTGGGCAAATGCTACCCGGACTGGCGACCGCAGAGACATGAACGGATTCCCCGCCGCAGGGTTCACTCCCCGGTAGTACGCCTCTTGCGCCCAGCTTCGAGGGTCGTCGGCCTGCGTCGCGGTGCGAGGATGAAAGTCGTCCGAGGCTGCTCTTCTTCCGTGGAACGACCGCGACGGCGCTCGCCGATGCCCCCGCGGCGCCACGTCAGACCCCCCAAGGATGTCGTAGACGATCGTCTCGACCTCGCTCCGCAACTCGGCATCGATCCATGACCCCCGCGCCGATCCGGGGCCCGCCTGCGATCCCCTGCGGAACGCCGCCCCCGGTGCATGGTCCTGCGGCTGCAGCCTCCTCTTGCCCTCGATGAGCTGCGCAATCTCCTGCATCAGTACATCATGCTCGCCGCCGCCACCGCCCCCGTCCATCCGCGACGGCGCCCTGCCCGGCTCCGAATGCGACTCGGACTGGCTCATCTGGATCTCCCGACGGATGTCGTCGACCGCGTCCCTGATGTCGGCGTTGATGTCCTGCCGCAGCCGGTCCATCTCCCGCCTCTGTCGTTCCGCCTGGGCCCGCTCTCGCTTGGCCTGCCGCAGACCCTCCGCTTGCTGGCCGTCTATCTCAACAGCCCTAATCCGCTGCTGGAGGCTGTCCAGGTCGTGCTCTTGCGGGGACGCTTCGGCCGCCGGGGGTCGCCGACGGCGTCGTCGGGGAAGAGGGGCAGATTCGGACGCCGGAGGCGGATTAGGTGGGTTCTGAAAGGGCACATGGCCCCTGTAGTATTCGGTCATTGGCTCGGGATAAGGATATGGGCCTGGCGGGACTGCGGAGAAGTGCGCCGCGTTTGGCGGAGCATATCCATACTCGGCCCCCGGATACCACGCAGGATGGGGTTCGTATAGGGGAGCCGGTGGGTTACTGCTGTACGGCGCGGCATA